TATAGACCTGAGTCATATCCCCCCTTAGTCTCCTTTGCTCAAGGCTAAACAGATTCAGTTAGTATAGTTAATCTGTGCTACATTTAACCATTCGGAAAAGCACTTTCTTGTGATTTTTAAGAGGATCTATCTGACTCCAGTTAAATTGAAGAGAAAAGTGACATCAATTCTGTTTGTGGAAAAACACATATTTTGTCTTCGTAAATGTTATGCATCAAGAAGATTTTCTGAGATTTCACTATTAATTGAAGCAGGGATTTCAGAGAGAAACTTTGCAAGGCTGTTTTGAGCTGATTTTGTAAAATTGCGGATTGGATAATTAGTTTATTTGATTCGGATGAGACTGAGTAAATTGCCAGCTCAGAGATTCAGATGAACTTGGTTGCAAAACTAAATTCGGATTATTTAGGGAGAGGGGTTTAGAAGCAAGGTGGCAGGAGCGTGGTAAAATCACTTTGAAAATACTGCATATCGTACCGGGAAGTCATGCCTACTGTATTCCCCCATCCAATAGCATAGAGTCTTTTTAGGATACTGTAGGGCCACTTTTGAGAATGTATTTAAAATTCAACTTATGATACTGTATTCTGCTTTGCACATACTGGGCAGCAAAGTGGGTCATTGCTTGCACTGTTTTCTTTCACCTCTCAGGTTGGGGCTTAAAACCTCACCTTTTTCTTGTGTGGAATTTGCAGGTTCTCTCCGTGTCATACGACTTTCCTCCTGCAGTCCAAAGCCATGCAGTTGGGTTAATTAGTATCTTAGGCTAATTGGTATTGGTCACCATTAAGCATTGTTATTGCCCTTTGGCACCAGTCTAATTTTTGGTGGTTTGAAATTACTTTTCCACAATGCTGTGGTCCATCGTCACAAATTCTATTTTCTTCATCTCATTCTCACAGGTTATTCGAACCACTGGCTTCATGAAGGGACTCTACGAGGACTCTGAGTTGAAGTCAGACAATGTCAAGGTAAGCTGTTCATCGTCTTAACGGACACAACTATCTATGGCCAAATGGTAATGTCAATAGACTTTACATGTCTGGGAACAGTTTTGTTGCATCGGTGCAGTTCACTACTGGATTTTAGACTGTTTTATTAAAATCAGAACAATGTGCAAGTCAGTCACACATTCATTGTGTGTCTTCTGTGCTGAGAACTGATAGCAGGCGAGCAAAACTGATGTGGCATCTGTTTTGTCAGACGCTAAATAGAGCAGATGTTGTTTGGACAGCTATGTCACATTGTGCTCCAGCATTAAATGCATGGGTGTTTCGTGCATTTTAGCAGCTAGCTGAACTAACTAAACAAAAGTAATGTAGCTAACCAGCACTGATGTAACTAAATAAATGGTGTTCTGCATGGTTTCATTTCATATTAGCTGGTGCTGTTCATGTATGTTATCACAGCTGCTGTCTCATGATGTGTGTCATGTTCCTGGAAAGTTATCACACAACACTGTGTCAGAAGCATGTAGCATGAAGTCACTATAGTTCTCAAGCCTTAAAATGCAGCACATACCATCTCAAATCCATTTTCTTTACAAGATGGCCTTGGCGCACTTTTGAAACACTGCTTATCGTGAGCATCTTGTAATATTTAGGAATTTATTATAGACGTTGAATAAAATGTAAACTTCATATCTGTATCCTCATCATTTGCAAAGAGTTTCCATGCCTTCTGATCATATTAACCTTACAATTTCTTCACTCATAGTTTATGTATCTATCAGATGTAGACTATGAGTGTGTCTGTGCAAGCAGTGCAAAAATGGAGAGTAGTTCTTGTGTGGGTTGACTTTATTTTGGTACTATGGTGTTTCTATAGTTAGCATAAGTTGCTGTAAGCCATCTTAGCCACTCCATAGGTGCTAAATTCCAGTTTCCCAACAGAGATTGTCTGCATTGCAGCAAATGCAGCAGGTAAAGGAAAAACAAAGTTCTCCAATGGAATATGTACCTAGCTTTTGGGGGGGAAAGAGGGAGTCAGGGCCCTCTTTCAGCAAACAGTGTTTGTATGTGAGTGTTTACACATCGATACTATGCTGTCACTAGAAAGCACAGCAAGCCTCGATGTGGCCCTGAGCTGAAAGAGACCCCCAAAGAAGGAATTTGCTGTCAGGTTCCTTCCAGGTGTGGCAGTCAGCAGCACTCCTGGCTCAGCTCTCTCTTTACCATGACATTAATGCAGACGCTGCACCAGTCCACCTTTCGATCTCCCACTACATTCTCCCTTCACTCATGAACAAGACCTCAAGATACCTACACTCCTCAGCTTGAAGTAGTAACACATCCCCAACCAGAATGGCACAATCCACACTTTTCCGGTCGAGAACAATGCCCGCCCCCCGAGCAAGTCTGTTTATAACCATTCTGTGCTTTGGAATCTGCTAATTATCCCTACATTCACATGTAGACTTCTGTTTCATGATTTCATTTCCATTTAAAAAATATATATTAAATATATTCAGGAAGGACTGGTTACTGTGTAGATTTTATTCATCATATTGGTGTTGCTAGTGGATGGCTACAGGTCAAAACTGAGGAGCTGAAATGTTGGCCATGAAATCCTCTGATCTTATAATGTTTTCCATGTATGGTCCTTCTCTCGTCTAATGTGCCTCAGGACAAGGACTCTAAGATTGCCTTCCTGCAGAAGGCCATCGATGTGGTGGCACTAGTGAGTGGGGAGCCTCTGGCAGTGAGACCGGCGCGCATTGTGGCTGGTCATGAAGCCGAGAAGACTAACGAGCTGCTCCAGGCCATCGGCAGGTGCTGCCTCAGTAAGGTGAGCAGCGTGGGTGTCAGGGCGCAGTGGGGGCTTGTGGATGCTTTCTTCTGTGTTATGGCCCGCTGTTCGGTGATGACAGCTAATGCAGTTGTAGTCGGTAGTTATTATATTGTCCATGTAGCTAATGGGGTAGAAGAGGTTAATTTATACCCTTGCAAAATGTAATTGGACTCCAGGGAGATCAGGTAAAGGAAAACCTCAAGCAAACACATTTGTAAATCTCAAAGGAGTCATCCTGGGCCCATCTGTTTGACAAGTGTGCACTTCTGTTCTGCCATGCCATAGCATTCAGCCGGAGCTAAGTTGGTCTTTGAAGGGTGTCACTGAAGATGTTCTCCTGTGCACAGTTGTCCAGTGAGGAGGCTGTAAGGAGAGTGCTGCTAGGGGAGAAGCCTGATCTCAGAGTGAAGCCCAGCAGTTCCAAATCCAAAGACAAAGAGAACCAGGAGGACAGAGAGCACCCTCGGGACAACGAGGTATGGGAAACCTAGCTTAGAGTAAGTATAACCTAGTGGTGTATCCCCTGCTGTTTGCAAAATGTGGAGACTTCTTTACCCATCTTCCACATTAAAGACAAAGAACTAAACAGATCAGGGTCAGACTGATACTGCTGGTACAGTGAGAAGAAATGAAGTATGATTAAGATCTTTGTGTTCAGGACTGCCTTGGTTTAGCAGATTTTCAGTGATAGAAGCACGCAGAGAAATGTCACATGTCAAGGTGGAATTGGTGGTTCGCCTTTCAGCCGCAGAGAGTAAACAAAGAGCGAAGCTCCAGCAGGGACCGGAAGGAGCCTCCGAAGGATCCTGAGGGCAAACGGTCTGAGAAGGACAGACCACGAGATGCCGCAAGGTTTGAGAAGCGGCGTGAGCGCGAGAGGACCAAGGAGCGGGACCGTGACAGGGACAAGGACAAGGAGAGGGACTTGCGCAGAGAGAAGGACAAGGAGAGAGACCGGGAGAAACGGAGAGAGAGAGACAAGGAGAGGGAGCACCATGAGCAGGCACAGGACCGGCAAGAAGCAGAGGAATCAGAAAGGAGGGTGTGTATTACAGAGCTCAAGGTGCTGCCCTTTCAGAATAAGAGTCTGGCATCATGACCAATGGTGCGATTCTCTACTTTCAGTCCCGTGGCACAGAGGACAAACTGAGCAAGCGGCCACCTGAGCGGCCTGTTGGGAATGGCAAGCCAGAATCCGAGGTCAGCCTCCTATGATTCATTAAGACATGCTGGCCGCTAGCTTTCTGGTGTGATGTGGTGCTCTTTACTAACTCGTTTGTCGACAACTTACTTGGTTTTTTGTCCTGAACGCATGTGCATCTTACCTCGACACGGAAGGGTGGCGATGATGTACATATAAATAGCTGTTTAATTTTTTGATTAATATTAATTCATATTCCCCCTTTGGCTGCATTTCATGAATACAGATAGTGCCGATACCTCAGAACATACTTCATACATATAGTAGCTATAACCTTTTTTGAGCAATTAAATGACTAATGTCTTAAGTGCAGGTCCCAGTATCAATTTTTGTTAGTGACTGCCTCTTAGAGCAGACAAAGCTGTTTGAACATGTTTAATCAGTCGGTTGTTGCAGTGCAGCTAAACGGGGAATCAGTGTCTTAGGTTACTCTAGTGTTACTTCATTGCTGTGTTGTTGGGTTGAGGAATGTCAATGTATTCTGTAACACAGAGACTATACTATAGTGTGGTGGGGGGGTTGTGGGCACCTCCCTCCCAAAAGTATTTAGAGCAGTGGAGGTCAGAGCTAGGGGTCTCTAGCCTGGTGATACAGGGTTGACTGCATGGCCTCTGTCCACATCCCTGCAGATATGAGATGAGACCCAGTTTGCAAATGCAGAGACTCAAGCTCAGATCATCCATGTCTTAGCTGTGACGTAAAGCCCGTGCTCTCAACCCTGGGCCTCCGGCTCTCTGGGTGTTGAAACTAAACGTGCTGCTCAGGTTGTTGTTTGTCCATGCAGCTGGTGGAATTCTGGGTAATGCAGGTAGTTCCTTACTTCTGTGTACAAGTTGCACCACATTCTCTACACGGCGTCAGGTTTTAGGCTAAAATGTCACAGTTTGACTGGTCATGTTTGGCCGACTATAGCCCCTTCAGCTGTTTCCGCGGCCATCCCCTCCATTTGACAATAGTAGAAGCCCTAACACGTGGGCCAGTGACATGGCCGTGCCTTTAAAAGCCTGTGACTTGTTCTTTATGATCATCCTCAGCTCTCTGCCCATTACTTAGGCCATACCATCAAGCGCTCTACACGTTAAACTGAGGGTTCTGCTTCTAGGTATGTGCTGCTTATGGGAACAGACTGTGACCAGGGAAGGAAGTTAGTCATGCTCTGCTTTCTCCCAGCAGGACAGTCCCATGAGGATACCCCGACCTTCTTCTGCCAAAGGTCAGAGGAGGTTACCAAAGCCTGGGGGACAGGGTAGGTGACACTTTTCATTGTCACCTGAGTAAGGCTTCTAAGGAGTTTAAAGGGCGTCTTTTGTACTGATGAGTCACATGATTTCCTTTTTGTTATCAGGATCCAGGATGTTAACTATGTTTTTCTTTCCACAGATGAATCTGACAGCGATGGAGGTGCATTTCCTATTTTTCCCTAAACTGCAGTACTCCCTGCCTTCTGCAGATGGCACTGCTGTACAGAACATTCTCTGGAGAGCCTGTGACGACAGATTTCTGCTATTCCTACATATTTAGTCACTGTTATACAATGTGTCAAGGCAAAAAAATGAAGTCTTATGTTATGAAAAATTACATGCCATAAAATAAGAGGTGCACCAAGATATGCTATGATTGGGGGCTCTGTCTGTTTCAGGGCCAGATGCTCAGCCAGAGGAGAAGACAGTCCATCAGGAGAATGGCGACGTGCCGGACTCACACAGACCTGGTGCTGCCTTGAGGTCAGCTGCTGTTGGGTGTGTCTGATGGCCGTCTAGTCCTGGCCGAGCCTGAGGGAGCGCTGTTTACCAAGGGGTCTGGCCCACAGCTCCAGTTTGTTACAATTAGCTTTAATGACCCCCAGAACCCTGCTGCACTGAAATTGTGCCAGTATGGCCAATTTCACCTCAATGGGATCAAGAAAATGCTGCAGGAGGCTTGGCTTTGTAAAGAGCACAGCCGTGTGTGTCTGTGTGTGTGTCTGTGTGTGTGTCTGTGTGTGTGTCTGTGTGTGTGTCTGTGTGTGTGTGTGTGTGTGTGTGTTCGTAGGTGTGCGTGTGTGTGTGTGTGTGTGTGCGTGGTTCTCCCTTTCTAGTCCCCAGGGATCTGCGTTTTGGAAGGCCTGTGGAATCCATTGATAAAATCTTTTTTTCTCTCCCCTTGCTGTTTTTTAACCACACGCAACAGCAAATTGGTCGGCTTTCCCAGGCCTCATGTTCAGTTCAGCGGCAGAATAACATTTCTGTAACATCACCTCAGAAACATTCTTCTGTACCGGTGCCAGATGAACCCCTCCTAACTGCTCTCCTGTGAGCGGAACCGGCCGCCTTCGGTATGCTGGGGCAATAACGGGCCTGTCTCGCCCCCACAGCGGTAACCGGGGTCTCCCACGACCCAGCAGCGCACGGCCAGCCCCGCCCCGCGTGAAGAGGCAGGAGGCCCAGCCCGATGCCATGCCCATGGAGAGGTGAGGGGAGACGGCTTGCTTCTCCTGCTCGAAGCCCCACCGCAGTCCTCCAGCACATCTGTGGCTGAGCTCCTTTCCTCCCCCTGCAGGCTGGGTAGCGCCAAGCCCTCGGCAGCGGTCATCGTGGATGGCGGGAAGCCATCAGAGGATGAAGAGGATGAGGATGCACAGTTCGTGGTGGAGGAAGCTGCCCCCCCACTGCCCGAGATACCTGCGCTGGAAGCGGTCAGTGGCCACCTCTGCCGCTCTATGATGAACAAACAAACAGTAATAATAATAGAAATAGTAGCAATGATAAAACCACGCAGGGCAGCGTAACACATTGTGTGTAGGTTGGGTAAGCTGGCGATGAGCCGCACCGGAATTATAGGGCCCCAGCTCTGATCGATTTACCCAGTAATCATTTCAATTAAGCAATTAGGAGCTTGGGGGAAGGGGACCTCGGTCTCCCCACGGCCCTCCGGGACTGGAGCTGTGTGCCCCATGAGTCACATTGTGATTTACATCATGAGTGGTCCTGGAATTGTATTCATTGAGTTGTTTCTCCTCCAACCCCCCACCCCCCAGGAGGCTGAGATCGAGTTACAGGAGAACGAGAAGCATGGTAAAGACATTTACTATGAAGCGTCACAGTATGTTTGGATACGGGACACGGCGCTCATTTGCTTTAGCTTGGTGTCAAATATTGGGCTATGTGTAACACAGTTATTTAAAATCCTTTGCAGTTTATGCCAAATATGTAATTCTGAGGAAGGGTTCTTACTTGGGTAACTTTGTTCTTGCTAATTCTGGTCCGGGGGGACTCCAATCTATGCCGGGTTTGGTTTTAGTCAGCCTGTGATTCCCAAAGCTGTAGTTGGTTGTAACAATCCAGGTGTCACTAGTAACGATCTCAGATAGCAACCATGTGCTGTCTAGCAGGTGCAGAAATATGTTTATGCCCCTTAAACAAATGAGTACTTCACAGTGCTTAAAACCCCTGAGATCATGGTGACCTTAATGACGAAGCTGCCTGTTTATTATTACTGACTGAATTTAATGATCAGTCCTGGCTGTAGTCATGTTGAACTTTCCATGGGATTGCTCAGTTTTTTAGAATTCCTTCATTTTCCAGGTGGACTAGTGAAGAAAATACTGGAAACTAAGAAAGACTATGAAACTTTGTCGTCACCAAAATCGAAAGACCAGGTAGGTCCAGGCAGCCCCCTCTTCAGATGGTGCAATTTCTATGCCTTGTCACTAGGTGGCAGTGTAATGCCAGGCTATGCCATTTAAGACCACCATGCCTTTTCCTGAGGGTTATGAAAATGCATTTCTGAGATACCACTCTGGGTCAAATGGAAACAAGCAAGCGTGAAAGTGGGCAGCCAATCATGTGTGATCTGAGTGAAGTGTGTGTGTGTGTGTGTGTGTGTGTGTGTGTGTGTGTGTATGTGTGTGTATGTGTGTGTATGTGTGTGTGTGTGTGTGGGGATTGTGTTTATATTACATTGTGGGGACCAAATGTGACTCGCAATGTGATTAAAAACCTGTTGTTTTAACCGTGTGGGGACCATTTTTCAGGTCTCCGCAAAGATCTGTGAATGCAATCAAAAAAAAAAAATGCCAAAAGTCTCGTATTTTATTTGGTTACTTATGGTTAGGGCTGGGTGGGTGTTAAGGTTGTCATGTTGGGATTAGAATTTTCCTCATAGAAATGAATGGAAAGACCCCACAACGATATAATTACATACCTGTGTGTGTGCGCTATGTGTATATTACATTGTTGGGACTTATGGGCCAGCGTCCATGAGGCGTCTTTGCACACAGAAACGCATCTGTATACTTGAGGATTAGTGCATTTTTGTTGCATGTTCTTAATGTGGTGGATTTTAACTAATATTGAAGTCCAAATATATCACTCCATAATTGCAGGTAGAGCAGTGCGTAAAGTCACACTCCAAATGGCTGCTGATCTGTGTTCCTGTGGGACCATGTTCTAGCGCCCTCAAGTCAGCTGTACCCGGGTCGTTAAAACACCCAGCTCTGTAAATGTTTAAAAGCGTCAGTCGCTTTCTGTGAAAGTGTCATTTGGGGAGGTAGAAGAGAATGTGATTCAGGTGTGGCACCTTGCTCACGGCTCCCAGCTGAGATTCCTACGCATTTAACCTCTACTGGGATATGCACATTTTTTTCAGACCATTGTAATTAGGCTTCACCTGCCCATTTCTTCATGCTTCTCCACTGAGAGGTGATGACAAGGGAAGTCTTTCCTGCATATGAATATAAAAATGTTCCATGGAAAATGGCTCATTTGAGAGGACATTTGTAAGCACTCCAACAGTCCCTGACATGTAATAAATGCACCCCCCCCCCCATTGTAATCATAAGTTGCTTATTCCAAATTTCAGTGTTAAAATAAATGCTGTATTGCTTAACTCCATTTCTAAGTGAAGGATTTCCCCCTGCTCGCTGTTTCAGGCAGTATGTTTTCCAGGAAGTGCCTGTGTAGTGCGTGCTGTGTGGATTTCATTTGCATCTAAAGACCATCTTGTGTTATTCCATGCATGGTGGCTCCCTGCCTTGTGCCCAGTGTTTTTGGGATACGCTTGAGATCACAGTCCTAGAGAAGCAGTTATGGATGGACGGACAATCTCTGACCTTAAATGGCAGCCTGGCCTTGTCTTTTTGTCAAAACCACCTTTGCTTGCATTATTGAGACATTTGCTGATTAATGTAGAAACAAAGGAGATTGGAAGTTAATGCATTCTGTAAACTGTTTTTTTTTTTTCTATTTCATGTATTGGTACAAACCTCCCGATTAGTCTTGTGCCAATCCACGGGTCATTAAGACCATCTTCCCACATGGCAAAGCGCTCTCAGCTTTTTAATTGCCGACAGGATGGCTGGTTTGCCAATCAGTACCACTTTCTTTTCCCCTAACAGTTCCTCTGAGCCTTGCTGCACAAACAGAAGACCCCATGTAAGAGTGTAACCGCTTCCGGACTTGAAATGGTCAAGTCAGCTTAACAAATAAGCCTGTAATCACAGAGGAATAATCACAGTACTGATGGAAACATCAATTTTCCTCATACCCTTGGAGGACAAAATTACTTTAGTTTGGCAGTACTCGAGTAATTGTGTGGCATTATGGATGGTGGGATTGAAACTAATATGTGAAATGTTTTTATAGGTGTTTCATCTTTGTCATCTCTGACTCCAGGCCTTGTCTTGTTTTAGTGTGGCACTGTTATTTCCCTTCATGTAAAATGGGCTGTAGAAGCCTGCTTCTCTGTCCATTCTGGTTTGCCCTGAGTGACACTCTGAAGAATGAGCTGTATGTTTTTGGTGCAACCTTCTCGCCGACCCCCCGGATCACGTGTGTGTTATCATAACATCATTCCTTGAGGTCGTCTCTCTTATTTATACGTCAGGGGGCCTCTAAGCAGCCGCCTTTCTTGTCCTCCTCGCTTTACACCGTCAAATTACCCTTGATGAAGGTTCGCAATGGATAAATAAACTGCTTGAACCAAATGGAGCTCCGCTGAGTGAGGGAGGAGAAGGGCCAGAAAGCCCTAGCAGAGCCTGTGAGAAAATAAACAGGCCATTCCTAGCCCCCTGTCTTCAGCTGGGTAGAGGCACCAAGAGCCTGCTACTCCTGCCTCTCTAAGGTAAGGGCAGTGAGGCTCAGACCCCCAGCCCCCTGTCTTCAGCTGGGTAGAGGCACCAAGAGCCTGCTACTCCTGC